TTTCACAAAAATTTTATTGTGTTCTTCCAAGCTTCTCCTTGTTGCAGCAACCTCTCCAAGTGTATCTCTCCTCTCTTAGGAATAACCTTGATGTTGGTTATTCCTAGGTGTTTGACTCCCACCAAGAGCTTTCCACCAAAGAGAATATCAATCTCCTAGGCTTCCACAAACACTTCAAGATGCTACCCTTGTACTTGGCTTTCCACACCTTCAAAGAGGAACTCGACACACCTTAAGTTGCTAAAGTTATATAGGAAAAACTGAAAAACCACAATTTAGAAAGGCTACACCAAATGGTAGAATTAAAGAGACAAGACTAGAAAGAGTTCCAAAAATTGACAAGCAAAAATTAAGGCACAAATGAAAGGCTAGCATACAAAGGAAAACCTAACAATGGCCCTAGAATGGATTACAAAATTAAAATCCAAGGATAAGTGAAGTGTGTATCCTAACACAGGAACAATAAGTAAATTAAAAATAAAATATATGATATTGGATACACAGCTTGATCGAAGTTTGAAACATATTTGGCAGCTAGCTAGCTAACACATTTATACTGCCCTTGAAAAACAAATAACACAACTATAATGTGACTCTTGTAGTACAAATTTGAACATATAATAAAATCACCAGTTTCACTAAAACAATATTAAAGGTTTATATCACTTGAAAATGTACTTGACCACGCCAGGGAGGTGGATGTTCAAAAAGTAATCATCCCAATCAATCAGTTGGGGGTCAAAGTAAAACGCATCTGTCTCCACCCTACCTTGTCTTGCTGCCATTCGCAACTTCTCTGTGTTCAAATCATCAAATCTGTATATACCATAACATCTTTTGCCTAAGTTTATATACCTTATAAAGCATTAGATATATAAAATAAAATTAAGCACCACAAATACATGATCAAAAGGCCAGAAAGATTAAACAACCATTGAATTAAAACATATAAAAGCTTGATTGAATACACGTTTGTAAGAGTTTTTAAGAACTTATTCACGGGTAATAAAAGTTTTTTTCTAAGTAAAAAGACTCTATAAAAAAATGTTAAGCTTTTATCCAAAAAGTTTTAAATAGTAATAACTAACACTTACGCAGATTTGAAGAACAAGTAAGGCTTGTAAAGGTCCACCAATCGCATCACAATCTGGATCTTCCTATTGAGATCAAGATATGTTCCTTGGAAATACTGGCAAAATGCAGTATTGACCAGCTCAAGTCCCTATTAAATGCAAAAAAAAAAAAATGTTGGTTCCTTTCATTGTAAAAATTTCCAATGATGGTGAAATATTGACTGGGAACAAAAACCTTTAGCATAAGCAGGTAGCGAATGAACATGTATCTTCTGAAGCTATCCATGTCGCTCAATACTGTAACTTTGCCAACCTTAACTGGCCTTCCATCCTTGTTTATCCATGGTTTTGCTGTGAAATATCTTAAGCCATAGTCTTGAAGATTGCTGTATCTTACTGGTCTTCTAACAGATGAACCGACATGATATATAACATCATCACTAGGATGCTTTGCATGAGCCACCGTGGCCACAAGTATTGCATTCACCACCATGTCAGCTGGTATCTGCTTATTAAATTGGTGGTATATATATTCAGATGAGATAAAAAAGAATGTAGAAATTGACCACAATATAAGGCCTTATAATAAAGGGCTTCGTGCAGAACTCACCACATCAACAATTGCTTTGAGATCTCCAAGGAAGCATGTTAATTTTCCTTTGCCATAAGCTACAGCTAAACTGTCAATGGTTCTGTAACAAGCACCACCAAATAAAAAATAAAAGGAATTTGCCATTAGGAACTGACATTTGCATTTTATCTCATTGGACTTTACTGCACAAAATACACTAAATAGATATTTTAATTTCTTTTCAAAATATTTTTTATGTACAATCAAAGTAATAAGGTTTAATCAAGACCTTATACAAACTAACAAAACTGCCACTAATAAGATGAACTAGTCAGTTATTTCTTTTTATGCATATAAATTATACACTAAATAGATATTCAATACTAAACATGCATGTGTGGACAAATTAAAACAAAATTGTCGTAGATGACTCATTTTTGTATGAGTTGGAGTGGAGCGAAATAGAAAAGAGAGTAAGAGAGTAATGTAATCGATGTATAATATTTATATATTTAATGTAATCTTATATTTCGATCAATAATAGAAATACAGTTGTTGGTTCTAAGAACATGGACACATTAACCTCGTTAAATGATCTTTGTCTTAGTATGTATTTATTCTGTCAAAAGATTTACCTTACTCCTTCAGCCCAACCAGGGAAAGGTTCTTTGAATGTACTGGTAACAATGGTAGGACGAATGATCACAACGGACAAGTTTCCTTTTAGTTGCTCAACAAGCATCTCTCCCATCGCCTTTGTGAATACATATGTGTTTGGCCATCCATACAACTTTGCCCTGATAAGTTACATACACAAAAAATCAGTTATGTCAAATTTGGAATTTAGAACATGTTCTGAGACTAAACCAGCAATTAATTCGCAATGAACAAAAAAACTTGTCTATCTGTTATGGATTGTCCGAAATTATCATGAGAGTAAATTTGGAAGAAAAATATAAGATTTTTTTTCTTCTATTTGGGCCACAAGGTTCCTGACATGTTAGCCCTATGTCAAATTCCCAGCACATTTGTTGACATCTCATTCTTTCTCTTTATCTCATTCACATCACATATTCTATTGCACACTTTTGTCTATCCTCTTCTTATCTCTCTTCTGATATTAAAAAAAAAATAAAAAATATTGTTAGAAGCGTGATTTTGAATTGTTTGCTGGTATAGGTGTCTATTTCGTGAGAAATTAGAACCACATAGTCCTCATTAATCTCTACATAATATATAAGAGTTATCAATTGTTTTTTTAAATTAAAAAACTTAACTGTGTTAGTGTTACACTCATGATCATGAAAATTATGTGGCGGTTTAAATCCATCAAATAATTACTCAAAATTCCTTTCGAAAATGGGGTGGCACTGCAGTCCCACACGTTACATAGTGAAGTGGCCTCATCAAGAGACATGTACCTCATTCTCATCTCTTGCGCTGCATGCACTGCTACAAAAATTAAATGCAGGAAACGTACAGTTGGGACAACTCTTATAAGCATCAATGAAAGATATAGATATCAACCGATATTCAGATCTACATGCGTTTTATACATAATGGTAGGCTCCACTTTTTCTCTGATGAGTCCTTGTAGGTTATTATTATTACTAAACTGAAGGCAAGGAAAGTTATACACAGAGTGTACTTACGTGACACTTGATTTTATATCATTCAGCAGGCAGCTGTAATTTATCTCTTTTTAAGTGTTTTCATTTTTAATAAGGTGAAAATTTCTTCACACCTAAATAAATGAAACACTTAGTTGATATATTTACTTTATGTCTGTTTCTCTCATTGTTATATATTCATTGTTATATATGTTATTAATTATATTAATCATTTTTTTTAATCTTTTTGGATAATTAGACATGTCAAACTATATAAAAATATTATATATAATGACATACAAAAAATATTATTATAGATACAAAATATATAGATATAAATCTATTTGATATATAACTATATATCATTCTAATATTAATTTTGAATAAGAATTAACTATATATATTATGTATTATTATTGTTTATAATTGTACTTTTTAACAACATATTAATATATATTAATTTATAATGTAGGTAAAAATAATTTTTATGACAAGTATTATGTTAGTCCAAGGTATGTATTGTTATAGGATAATTTTTTTTTTTGTAGTGTCAAAAAATTTAGAATACATACAAATAATATTTTATATTACAACAATTATATGTTGAAACTATGGATATTTATTCAAAACTAATATTAATAAGCGGTGATCATACTCTCACAAATTCTGTTACCATGTTTTACTGTTATAAAACCACATTTTTTATAATTAAGACACCTGCAACTAGGTAGCGATCGACAAGTTATAGTTTAACACAACTTATTTCAGGAAAATAATTTGCAAGACCTCACGTGAAAACTTTGAAGAAACAATATATCTATCACTCAATCAATAATTAAGAAAGACAGAATAATAAATTCTAACGTGACATGTACACCACCCCCCCCCCCCCCCCCCCACCAACACGCCCTCGCCGACGCAATGCCCGGCGTTCTCGCCCCCGCCCCCCCCCCCCCCCCCCCCCCCCCCCACCACCACCAAAAGGAAAAAAAGAGTATATATAACATGTCATGAATACCATGATTCCAACAACTATACTATATAAATAATTTTTTGTCATTTTCATAAAAACTCTAATACAATTATGTGTTTAGGTATTTTTAATGTGTCTTGCGGAAAATAGTCCATGTGGAGAAGTCATTTTCGGTACCTCTGATCAAAATTCTTAATGTACATCTTTAATTAGAGAGCTCAGCCTTGACCTCGTTTTACGATCCATGGTTTGGAAAGGTTATAATGAAAGAGCCATAATTGATGGCCACTCTCCATAAAGGTTACATAAGGGATGGGTTTTTACTTTTGTTACGCGTCAATTTATGTTACCCGTTTCTCGTTCAGTCGTTTGAAGCCTGAGCTGCAATAACATCACTCTCTTATGTAGAAAATATCTTTAGCTAGCAATTATTCCTTTCTTTCTTCTTCAATATGGAAAGGGTGAGTTGGTCGGGTTTGGTAAGAAATCAATTCAGGGTTTTAATGGAGCAAGGCAAACAAACCACAAACTGTTGCTTCATTACGTGTGCTTCTATGAGGTCATTACATCCATCTACAATATAGCAATAAGGTGCACAGTGCTATAAGAAGTGCTAAAAAATTATTTATTGAAAAATATTCTTTATTCTACGTAGAAAAGCTTTTAAAAACTTTCTAGCGCTTGTGTATAAAATCATCTACTTTTATAGCTAGGATTGGTTCTCACACCATTGTGTACGTAAGCAATAAAACAAGTCACTTCCACCTCATTAATGTAGGATCTGTAAATCAAGATATACACAGTTTTCGGAGTCTAGATGACCTAATCGGTGTATATAATATGTTCCGATCCCTCTGGGTAGTTGTAAATAAGGTATATATAGTTATTTTCTAGTTAGTACAATATACGAGTTTCATTAATCATTGGACTGTAATTATAAAAATTGGATATATTCTTTAAATTATTGTACAGTTCCTCTGTATATAGAATTAAAATTGAATCAATTCTTACGTCGGAGTTCAACTGTTGCTGGTCCCGCATAAAAAAACATTACATGGAGAAAATGTGAAAACTTAGAATTCTTATTTCCTTGTCATGTTCGAGGAAATCCTAAAGATATTTTCCATGGTAGGCCAATTAATATGAAAGTGGGACTGTAATAATTTAAGTGAAGATTCTAGTGAAAAAGGATAGAAGCGTTTATTAATGTTACTCCCACGTCTCTATTAATTGCTCCACAAATCTAAATAATTTAATTTCAACTTTTTTAAAACCAACTTAATAATTTAGAAGAAAAAAAATTTATAAAATTTAATTGGATGAAAGTGACAATCTAATCCCCCTAAAAGGTTAAGGGAATTAATTTGTCTTTTGAGGAACCATTATTATGTTTGAAGGCTTTGTAATATAGCATGTGAATCATGTACCCATTTAATTTATTTTCCCTGATAAAAGAAGACCCAAAAGGAGAAGAGACCTTGAAAAGAGTACACATAAATTAATAATAATGCATTAGATTTTCACAAACCTGCTAATACCCAAGTCCTTCATAACCTCTTTAATTTCACTTTCTGAGGCTCCCAACTGTCGTAGCTCACTCAATTTGTCACGTACAACTTTTTCTTCTTCATAGATGTCTAATCCACACACCCCATTCAATGAATCGCCCAAGTGATAGGGTTTCTCTAATATGAGTTCTTCTCTTTCTCCCTCACCACATACATAGGCTGAAATTATTAATTAAGATGTAACAATTATGCTGATGAATTTGTGTGAGTCTAATTAATGTGCTTTTCCTAACCATTATGGTTGATACAAACCTGTTGATACGTGCACAAGAACCTCGAGTTTGGTACACTTTTTGGCGAAGTTGATGACATACTTAACACCAAAAGTATTTAGGCCCAAAGATATATCATACCTGAAATTTTAGGTGAGAAAAGGAAATAATAATTGAGGCGGGTAGTGAAAACATTAAATATTTTTAGTACTCCACATACCTTTCATCAAAGTTGGTTGTTGCAGCTAAATTAATTATGACATCAGTTTGATCGTAAATCTGTTCCCTTAGAATGGAATCTTCCAATCCCAAATCTTCACGAGAAATGTCCCCAGGTACTAGAGTCAACTTTGTCGAGACAAAGGAATTAAAATTTGCACCCAACTTTTCCTTCAGCAATCTAAACAAATCCTTCCCTATGATCTACACACCGAAAAAGATAATTAAATAGGACATACTTAAGCTATACAAGCTTAATTAATTATTATATTATGACGTGAGAAAACTAGGTAGAGCAAGTATACTGTGGGTCTCATTATTTACATGACTAGGAAAAATTTGACAAATGTTATAAAATCAAGAGACAAACATATATCTACTCGAAGCCTTTGGTTAATTTGGTAATTGGTACACGACAATCATATAATGCTAATATGCTTACTTAACTATAACTATAATGCATGGGAAAAGGACCATGGCTATCTTTCTGAGATATCATCTAATCATCTAGTAGTAGAAGAAGGTCTGAGAGTAAATTGTATAGGATTTTAATTCAAATCTTCTTGTCCAATTCAACCACAAAAATAGATATAAAAAATATGTTTAAATACAAGTTAAAAGTATTTTTAAAAAATCTTCTATTGAAAAAAATACTATTTATTTTCGGTAAAAAAAAAAAACTTTAAAACACATTTCTAAACTTATATATAAATAAACTTAAAATTTATTTAGATATAAGATAAAAATATTTTGAAGAAATTTTTATAAAAAATAAAGAGCTTTTCATAAGAGAAGAACTCTTTCAAATGTTGTACTTCTATCTAAATAGATATACTCAATATTTCCATTCGAGAGAGAAAATGAAAGTAAATACAAAAAACAAAACAAAACAAAAAAGAATTGGCCTAAGTTCTGCATAAGCATAAACTGATCTTGTCTCTTGTGCATATTTACCTCATTGTTCAACCGATGAGTGGCAGATTTGGCATCTGCAGCTCTTAAAAGGAGGTAAAGCTGCTTAACATTTGGTTGGACCCTCAATATCTTCTCCAATAAAACTGTAAAACAACAGGTACAAGTACAAATATATACATATCATGCAAGTGCGTATATGCGAACATCATTGTTTAGTACCTTCTGAATAAAGCTAGAAAGATATGATACCTTTGGCGAGAAAGCCAGTGGCACCAGTGACTAAAATGGTCTTGTCCTGAAGGAAGTGGAGTATACTTCCTAACTCCATTGTAGAAAAGTTATGACAGTAATATTAATGAGAGAGAAACTGAAATAGTGGCGATGGTCGATGATGCAGATTGCAGACACAAGAGGGTGGGCGAAATCATATCTCATATGGCCATTTGGCCGCTTCATATAAGCACAGAATTCGGCATGTAGCATTTATGAGATGGAGTGTACGCAAGTGTTGGTCGTAGTTTATTATCTTAGTATAATAAAGGCTACAATTTCGCGTTCTTTTTTTCTGTTGTGTTTCTGGTTGAGCTAGAAAAGTCAATAAATTGCCAAAATAATGTATGAACATCTTGAGGCTTTAGCAGCATACCTTCATAAAACTTTATGGCAACTCTGGTTTGACTATAATTACATTCATTTTTTTCCCGTTAGTCATATTATTAAAGTAACTCATTAACAAAAGACCATATGTTAAACTTTCTCTAATAAGCTAAATTAACTTTCCTCTAAAAGATATTTTGTTCAGGCCATTTGGGGGTGTTAATAATTGTAGTGGATGATTAATTAAGTGCTAAAATTTTCATTACTGTTATATGTAGAAAGCATTTTTTTTTTATAGTATTTTGAGTAAATTATGTTATATTTTTTAAAGATTGCACTCTATTTTTTTATCATTTGGACTTACAATGACACTCTTTAAAAATTGAAAAGATGTTGTGCTCTCATCCCTAGTTTTTTTTTTTTCTTTTAATAGTATACATAATACTCCTTCATTATTTAAATCATGAGACTTTTTAAAAATTGGAAAGATGTTATTGTATTTTTTCAAAATTACAGTTAATATCACATTACTCAAATAATTAATTATTCAATTTATCAATAAATATCATCTTATTATTTTATTATCACCTTTGATCTATAATTTTATTTAAAACTATTTTACTATTTTTTAATTATGTATTATTTTACTTGATTTATATTTTGTAACCTCTATTATTTTTATTTTTTTATTATTAATTTTAAACAAAATACATAGAGGCACTAAATATCTTGAATATTATTTTTATATTTTTTTATTTTTAAACAGATTATACTTATTATTTAGTCCATATAAAATAGTTAAGTTTTGATTTAATCTCCAAATTTAGAATCATTATTTTTAGTTACTATTATTATCAAATCATTTTTAACTACTTATTCATTAAAAGGTCTCACTATAAATCCAAATAAGAGAAGAATATTGAATATAATTTTAAAAATATATATAAAAAAAGTGTGAACGTAATTTATTCTAATATTTTTTCGAATTTATATAGTTGTCGAACTGGTGGTCTGGTCCTGGTATGTGAAGAGTGTGACTGTGTGGTCTCAATTAATCGAGCCACCACCCAACAAATAACAACAACACTGTACAGTTAAAATTGAGTTGACGTACAACTTCCAAACTGCATTCTAGAATTTTAGTGTACATAGCTCGTAATTGATTTTGATTGTGTTTTTTTTTCTTCATTTTTATCTCTAATATCTTTTCCATAATCTATCTTTTATCTGTTCATTTTCAAAAATTCAATATCCTTTGACTCTTTCTAATTCGATGCCTTCAGAGTTAAACCTTCACAACGAAAAGTGGTTGAAATTAAAAAAAAAACAATATATATATATATATATATATATATTATTTTAAACAAATAAATTTTATTTAATTAAATTTTAATTTTTTTTGTGAAAAGGAAAGAAACTTTACGTAAGATATTTTTCTTTTAATATTTTAGGCTTACTAATTGAAAGTATTTTATTATCGCTCAATAATCCCTTTAATGCCTTTTAAACATTGCAAGAGAGTCAGATTTAATAAAGAAAATTGTTGCCAAATATTTCAACAATCAACAAGAGGTATTCAAGTGTGTGTGTGTTAGAAGTGCTCACACTTTTGCACAATTTTTGAGTAATTTTTTAGGAACACTTTCCTTTAATTTTTATCACACTTTTAGAACACTTAAACCTCTATTTTCTCTGTTTTGAAAGATTCAAAAATAAGCACAAGTTTCAGCCACACAAGAGATTCAAGGAACACCTACTAGGAAAGTGTTTTTGAAATTTTCTTGACAAACTTTTTAAGGAAACATAATAGAAACCTAACTCTAAGAAATTTGCTAGAATTAATAGCAAATTAGGAACTCAAATATGTAAAACAAAAGCACATATAGGTCAGGTACAAAGAGTATATAAATTGCACAAAACGAATTGACCAAAAACAACACAAAAACAAAGGTTAAACAAGCTAGTCTAGGAATTAATGACATGTAAAGGACTACACATGACTCTAGACAAAACACAAGATTATAAACCAAAAACACATGCTATTCATTATCATAATCCAATCACGGATTCAGGTCATAAGGAATAAGAGAAGACTCAACAAAATAAAAAACGCACAAGTTCATAGAAACCTAAAGCACCAAAACCGGATTGATTCAAGATTAATGGAACAAGCAAAATGTGAATCAATCAATTCTCATGTGACATATAGGATCCATCAAAATATGTATTAAACCTAGATCCATACAGCAAACACAAGAAGACATGTAAAATATGGAAGAGACAACACGGATTCATACAAA